AGTGTTAGCGAGTGGAAAACGGCCGCCTGCGAGGACACATGACGTTGACGCACCGATCATTGGGGGGGACAGTATTGTTTGCCGTCCACCACAGGTATAGGACGTTGGGGCAGTAGGCCTTGGAGAACGAGGGGGAAGAATATAGGTGGCCGTCCGCCACAGAGTCTAATTTATGCTTGGAAGTCGATTGTGACTGTGAAAGCGGAAAAGCGCGGGCTCAGTTGAACATGCGGGTAAAATCTGCTGAGTCACAGAGGAAGAGCAACATGAGACTTGGTAGATAGTCTCTTCAACAAAGTAGCTAAGGGCAAAACATTAGCGGCGCAACCGCTTGGCCAAAACTTTGCTATAATTAACCGTCTCTCTTTTACTTTTATTCTTTCGTTCTTCCTTCCCTCCTACTAGTCTGATAGGCAATGGGAATTAATTCGGGGTGTTTTTATGAAAGCGAACAATGGTTATTTAAAAACTAAATATACAAAGTTTTAATTCAAAATATTGTCGGTTGGCAGCTAGAACCTGCTTCTAATCCTTTGGGGAAAGTTTTTATTCCGCTGTAGAAAGCACTGTTAATTTTTTTTACAAAACTTCACTGATTGAGCCAATTTTTGACTTTGTCCTCGGAACTGAAGCATATTTATATAAGATCGGGCTGCATCAACTTAAAAAACTTATAATCTGAGGGAGAATAAGATGTGCGGAATAGAGCTTTCCCGCGAATTCCTTCCAAAGTTGCTTTCACTCGTATAACACGGAGCCTGGCATTGTCATACTGCAAACTCATCTTACCGTGTCCTCCATTATACTCAGGTTTTTTTTTATTCTGATGGCTTTAGCAACTCATACTACAGCACACTCTTTTGGTCCCACCAGATACACAGACTAACTTTGCTTCAATAAATATTCTGCTTTAGAGTTGATATTGATGATTGCTTAGACGTCGTTGTCATTCAAAGAAAAGATGAGTACCATGGAAGCAATTTTTTACGCATTTTTAAGAAATTGTTAGCGCCTTTCAGTCAGCTAATGCGGCGTCCAAATTATTTGCTTCTAACGATTCCCAATGCATGTAACAGTGTGTCCGTTAAATTATAATACCTTTGACATTCCTTTAAAGGACTGGCTAAATTTTATGATGGTTCAGCTTAAAAATTTTAAAGTACTTAAATGATTCCTTGTTTGTTTTTTAGGGACGGAATGTTTACCAAAAATTTCCTCAAGTAAACAATGACGCATGGCAACATATTTTTCAAAGCCCAGCGAAAAACTGTCCGGAAATTCCCCCTTTTAGTCCAAACGCTTCAACTTGCTTATATGAAAAATATTTGCGTAAGCGCTTCAATCAGCTGTCGTACACTAAATATAACAGCTTTCTTCAGGTACTTTATAATGCGTGTTTGAAACAAAATGGTCTGGGCAAACTTCCTACCTATTATTAAAAATGCATCGTTTCTTATTGAACTGTCCACAATCAACTCTGAATTAGAAAGGATAAAGGTTCTCACGGATTTCTTATCGTAATTGGTATAGGTGACCTCGCTTTCAATTCCAGTATCCTTTCTTTAACACTTATGTCAATCCTAACCTTAACTTTGATCCCAAAGCGAAGACTAACTAACAAAGAAATTTGGCAAAAAGCTACCCGTAAGATGGGAAGTATCTGTTCTCATTTGCCACCAACATAAATGAATGTGAATAACTAAATGTTAACGCTGCTAATCCTAGAAAACCAAGATAATTTAATCACTGCTAGTTTCTGACTCGCCTTCAATGCTTCCTACTGTTGGCCCACATATAGGTGGTTTGGATTATAAGTAAACCAGGTCTCCATTTTTTACGCCGCACTTATTTCAGTGTTTTCTGACAAAGGGTCGATTTACCAGTGAGGGCGTACCGTCCTATAAGCCTTATTTCTTCGGATTGGCTTACACCATCTTAAAAAAAGTCTTCCCGGTCTTTAGAGTATCAGCTCGATTTCGGCTTCGTACGCACACTTTGAAGTTGAAAATGCTGTAACAATCCAGCGCTAGAAACCAGTGGTAAATCCAGAGTTTTCCCTAGATTTATTGCAGTGGAGTACTGGGGGACGCTGACGTGTCCGATATGCTATTGATCGATAGCCATTCAAAGTAAGGTTTAGCTGACTGAACAATCGAGTCGTGACAGGAGCACGTGCACCCACATTCTCGGGGGTGGCGGATAACGAAAATGCAGGCGCACCTGGCGGGAGACCTCGCTTCAGAACCACAAGAACAGCTGAAACACAATCCTAATTTTTGTCCGCTTTCATCAATTCACAGAGATAACTTATGCGTTGCAAGCAAGGCTAACACAGTTCTATTTTACACAGCACAAGCGGACATGGTCGCTGAATTCCAGGAAACCAGGTCAGATCAGAGCGATAAGACCTTTACTGCCGATGGCCTGTCGATCACTTCCGTCACTGTGACAGGAGACAGCGCAAAACCACAGGAAGAGGAAGAAGAGCGTTTGCACAATGATTTCGAGAGGGATATAAGGACACAGGGAATTCAAGTTGACATAAAGCCTAGCAAATACTTTGAGGGAACAATGAGACAAATTTTCAGTCCTTCGAGAACCAGCACTGATGAACAGTCTACAACAGTTGGATCCGTGGTAAGAAGACAGAAAAACATCTCGGCTAAGGTTAACGTGCGGCTGCCTATTATAAAGACGAGGCCAGGCACCTGTACACCCGGCGGACCGGGCCGGCACGGCGTACTTACGACTAAACATCCCAAGCCCCTTCCACCATATTACGCTCCGGCCTTACTGAAACGGTTGCACGATGAATACATGGCTCTTGGGGCATGCTCCAAGAAAAGGATGGTCTACTTCAACCGACTCGTGGAACCGTGATTCGGTGACAGTATCCTACTTTCAGATTTATTGTTTTTTTAAATGTCCCTTTATGTTTTAACTATTTTCGTGTTAACATTTAGCGTCATTTTTACCCGGTCATTACGTCCTGGCACAAGCGTAACTGTCCGTGGATGTGTTATCTAGAACATATTGACTGCAACTAGGCCTCGTGCACACGAGGTGATCAACAAAACCATGCGTGAGCTGACCACATAGAACAGTGCATGGAAACAATGAGTGCCGTGACTCGAACACACGATTCCACTCCTTCATAAAATTCCTTTCGTGAAAGCAGCTGAACGGTGAAGGCATACATACGAATCTTCGGTACTGAATTCGTTTTGGACGTCTGTCATTGGCTGGTCGACCTGTGCGCACATAGTCAGAATTGGCCTAAGTCCGGGACCGGCAGGGATATTTGACTTTGGCTTGGGGGGAGGCTGGTTGTGGCTTTTGGAGTTTCGGGCAATTTATCCTGTTGGATGTGTTGCAAGATTACAAAGTGGGAAACACTTTGATTTGAGGTATATGAGATTTCGTAGAAAGGACAAATTGAAGATCAGTCGAATGCCGGGCGGAACCACCGTTTGGGCTTTTAGATTCACGCGAAAGCCCATAATCAGAAAAAATAAAAGAGCGCTATTTAAGTTGTACTATTTTTATTTGCCTCCTGCTGAAAACATGGCCGGGATTAGCTGTTTGTTTCACAAATGAAACCTTCTCTCGTGTAGCTTTCAAGTGCACACACTACGGATAGACTTAGTCCATAGGGATTAATACTCGTTACCGTCAACTAAAAGGTTTATGCCCTAATGGTATTTTCGTTTAACTATTCCGAATCTTCTAAATCATTCTGAGATAAAGTTGACGTGACGTGTCTTAAAGTAGCAGGGATATCGATAAAGACGAGAGAGACTGATGACAACTCCCAGTTGATTTCCTTCGGTAAACACGGTAGTTTCACCATAGTATCCGAAGAATGCTGGTGTAGGGACGGTGACTTGTATGTTAGTTGATTTTAAATGTTAGTAGACGTAGGATACGAAATCCACAGCCTCTCTTCCGTCACCCACATCTGTCCAGTGTAAACGCGGAGCCAAGATAATCGGGGACATGATTGGGCAGGGGTGGCTGGTGCAGCGTGAATGTGCACATAACGCGTGCATTATTTCCCCGTAGTGTGGAATTTGTTATGGGAGCACTTCCCGGATTATGCCTGTCGTGCCCTGACTTAGCCCAGTGTTGGTCCAGCGAATCTATCACGTGGCCCGCTACCCGACATTTAGATAATCAATTTCGACGAGGTCCATCGTGTGTTCCATATCAGAGAGGGGCAGTGACGGTGACTTGCATGTGGATTAGTTTTAAGTGATAGCAAACTTGCGCTTCCGCGCCAGGAGTCAAGAAAACTGGAGGCGGGATCGGACGCATGTGAAACACACAGTGTTATAGCCTGTCCTGCGTTGATCAGATAGGGATCAGGCACAGGTGGTTGGTACGACATGAGCCTGCCCCAACGCGTGCAACTACGCTCCCCATGTTCGGCATTTTTATAGGGACACAGCCCAAATAACGCCTATCTTGCCCTGATCTGCCCCCCGTGTTGGTCCAGCGCATCTATCACACGCCTCGTTTAGGGGGTGGGAAAGAGGTTAGCAACACCCGGTATTTCCAACCGGTCACCCATGCGAGTACTAAACGGGCTGAACGCAATTTAAATTCTGTGATCGAACGAGAATTTGTGTTGTCTACGTGGTATGATCGCTGGCCCGCCATCTAGTGGGAGTTTACCGTACACCGGCCCATGTAACTAAACGTTCGCGCTACCAGCTAACAGTACATAATGCCGCATTGCACCGTTGAGGATGGTGCTCGATAACCGAATCGGGTACGAGCAGCCCAGACAGGTTGGAAAATTACTGACTGATAACGAGAAACAAACTAGTGTTGCTCGGAAGATTATTGGGGATCGCTATGCGGCCGCCGGCGCGGGCCGCGAAAGTTCAGCTGCAGCGCGAAACAGACATGACCATCTCCCGGCATTCGACGGGATGCGAACCCGCACAGGAGGGAGGCCTTTTACGCAAGCAAACGCTCTACCTACGTGAGCTACGAATGTAGCGCTTCACATCGTGGGTTTAATCACACTTGGATCGATATTACCCGCCCAACTTTGCTGCTCATATGCAATCCACCC